TTTTTAAAATAAATAATCGAACCGACCAAGCTATATGGAAAAATAATATTAGTCTTTATATATTTTTATGTATCGCGATTGCACGTTATGGTTATACGAATTGCACTTTAATGAATGTCCGGTTGCACATTATCGAGCAAAATGGACCGAACTAAAATTTTTTGTTCGGAATTTTATATTTTTGTTTGATTCTTTTTTTACCTCTAAAAACTCAGGTATTTCGATTCGTTGTCTCTTTTTTATTCTAAATAATCGAACAGCCTAATTATATAAAAATATATTATATTATTATTATTATTATTATTATTATTATCATTAATATTTATTTTTATGTAAAAAATACCATTCATTTCCAGCAAAAACAAAATATAATAAATATATATAACAACTACAAAATCAAGTAAAAATGCTCTTCTAGGTTAGGTGACTCGTAAGCTTAGTTAAAAAAGACGCTTTGTCTTCATTCTGGCCCGTTTGAATGGTTCTTCGGCTTCTGAATTATCCAATTCTAAATCATATTTTGATTAATTATAAAATTGACCCATGAACTAAATAGTAAAATAACAAAACTTATAAAATTGCAAAAAAGTCCCTATGCCTTGTCAAATTCTCAAAAATATGCCCCCAGTTCTATCTCCCTGCCTGCAGCATAGCCGACCAAAATTCGACCAAAATCACGGTGATGGACCTTCGACGTTCGGCGCCTACATCGCCGGCGATCTATCCGGCGAACGACAAAAAATGGATGAGAGTCGCGTCCCCGTAACGGCCGACGACTGAGACGTTGCCGGAGGCGGCAGGAGAGGGGGACTTACGACAGTGGGCTGGAGACACTGGAGCGTGCGTCAAAACAGAAAATTCGACTGACCAGCGTGCAGCTTCGCCGGAGATTGACGACGGCCGTCTTGGTGACCCAACATCCTTGCGGAGGACGACGGAAGCTCCGACTATGGTTTCTCCGGCGGATGCACCGATCAGGGATGTGGCGGAAGGCGGATCACAGCGGCGGGCTGCCGGGCTGGTATCGTGTGTGTCCGGCGGAGCAAGGCTGTGGAGCGACTGGCCAACGGCGGAAGGCGGGCAGCAATCGGCGGACGGAATGCGGCGGGCAGAAGGCGGCGACCGGCGGTGAGTTGGTGGTGTCTGCATCTTTGTTGCATTTGTGTGAGTTCTGAAGATAGGACGGGAAGATCTAGGTGATTTAGTGTGTGTTAGTAGGTGTAATTGTGAGAGAGATAGTGGGGTTGGTGGTGGGCCCATATTAAATTTGCAATGTCTAATTTGTCCCTAGTCCGTGGTCAATTGGATTTATTGGACCCTGATATATTCACTTAATTACAAGACTGCCATTATATGTTTGACTGGTAAATATTAAAATTGACTTGATCATGATCATTGATATGTTGGATCCAACGGTACAAATTTATTCTTATTTCTTTCACTATCTACCATTCTCACATGATCCCAACTCTATATATATATATATATATATATATATAATTGCTAGCATAACATTTAATTTTATTCAATAAGTTTTACCTCATAAATTTTACCTATTAAATAATACCTACATGGCAAACTTTCCATACTCCAAAACCGTAACAATTCATTATTATTATTTTTATTATAATTATTATTACATTAATCCACCTATCCCATTAATGATAAAATATTCTTTTGCACTTTTTTCTGGGTTAACTAAGACAAAAAACGTTATATTTTATATTAATTGAGTAATAATTATATTTTTTATTGTATCATATAATAGTTATTATTAAAATTACTATTTATATTTTACACTAAATGATATATGAAAGTTACATAAACATAAAAACATATATTGAATTTTTTTTTGTTCGAGTTATTTATTCTAAAATCAATATTACATATTTTTATCTGACTAAGCGATTGTTTTTCAAATATATTAATTTGTATTAGTGTCATAGTAAAATTCCTTAAATCGTATAAGTAACTGTTTTTATAAAATAATTTTTCAACTAATAAATTGTTCATGTTCCCTCAAATTTATGAAAATTCCATTAATTATGACATTTATGCAACCAATATAGTGATTCATATGCAATGAAATTGTTATGTACTGTTTATTTTAATCAATAATCATATTTTAAACATAATACAATTATCTAGCTTATAATTTTAATATTATATGCATAAATATAAATTATAATATTATATGTTTAAAATATAATACCATTATATAACTTATAATTTTAATATTATATACATTCAAATAACTTATAATCTTTTATTTACATCTGTGCAAATGTTTTAATATTATATACATTCAAATAACTTATAATCTTTTATTTACATCTGAGTAAATGTACATGGTAGAATACTAGTACTTATATGAAAACGAAGGAGTTTAAACTTAATAATAAAGTCCAAAAAAGACCGAGCAATCAAAAAGTCTTCACCAATCTATGCCACTATAAGAGCATCTCCAATGCTATAAGTGTGAAAGACCATTATTTTTAACACATGTCAATTAGTGATTGTAATGTTAATCCACATTGGAATAATATTAAAAGACTAGAAATTTCAATGAGACTAGTATCTCCAATGCATCATTTGATAAGAAGTTATTTGTATGGGTAGACCAATTAAATAATTCATTGATACAAAAAAAATAAAAAATTAAAACAAATATAAAGTAAATTGATGAGTCATCATGTTTAACATGGTGTTAGATATTAGAAAGTGGGCTCAACATTGTCAACATTAAATGACATTCAATTCATCATGGAAAAGTTCATGACAAGATGCATTGGAGAAAAAAAAATAGAGACACACTTTCAAAAATTGATGATATAGATGACTTTTTATAATGTTAAAAGTTACATTGGAGATGCTCTAAGGTATTGCAATAATGTCGAAAACCCGTCCAACTGATAAATGTTATTTACGGTAGATCTTTTAAGTCTAAGAAGTATCAGATTTGAACTAACAAAATAGACACTTTCTTGACTATAGATGTTTTAAAATTTAAGTATAAGATTCTAACTAACAAAATAGATAAAAAGGATAATATTTTATAAAACATATATTTTTACTAAAAAAAATAATAATGAATTGATTCGATTACATGATACTATCTTTATCAACAACTTAACTTAACTCAATTTAATAATTAAAAATTATTTTTCTCTCGTCCAATTGCACAACTCAACTTATATTTATTAGTGATTCAGCTCAACTTAAATTATTTATTTTACTTTTATTTATTTATTAAGCATTATCTACTATTGATTTTCGTTATTGTTTTAGTTGTGAAAAATTAATAAAAATTCTTGGTCATTTGTGTTGCATGTTACTATTAATCCAGTAGATAAGACAATCATAAAAGTAACCTGTAACTTTTGAAAAATATTAGATAAGAAAATACTAATCAGACTTTTACATAATAACTCGAATTGCACGAGTTGAAAAGATTACATGACAACAACCAAAATGACATAAATTGTTATATGAAAATAAATTACAATCAATTTTAAAATAAAACTGTTGCGTTTCATCTCATCATCTTCTGGCGATAAGTGGTCATTTGCCAATAATGTAGTCAACATCATATTATTTATTTTCCTAGTGTTTATTTATTTATTTTTATTATTGGCTTTCGAACTCGACCCTATCATTCACTATTTTGCTAATTAAATCATATTATTTATTTCTTTTAAGTCTTAGTGTGCGAATTTCTGTCGTTCAGGAATAGAAGAAGATTGTGATGCAACCAATAGGAATTCACAATTGTTTTATCCCAACATACAACCTAAGTCATAACCAAAAGTCGTCGTGACTCAAAAATTGAGTAATCTTAAGGCGTGCTTGGATACAAATATATCTGGTCAACACAAGTTTTTTTTGTTAATCATAATTAATATTGAAAAATTTAGTATAGTTAGTTGTTACTGAGATTTTGAGTTTATATTAAAATAAAATAATTAAAGTTAATTTGATGTAAAAATATGAGACAGATGATGTAAAATGGTGGTTAATTAAAGTTATATGAATTGATGAATAATGAGAGTTAAAGTTGTTGTGATGTGTAAAAATTACTATTTGATATTACTTAATTACATTGATAATATTGAAATAATGAAATTAGACAAAATTAAGTTGAATTTTAAGTATCAATAGAATATGAATTGAAAAAATCTATAAACAACCACACCATTCTCTTCTAGAAATTAAGTAGTGACGGGTGACAGGTGGCCCTAAAACCCACTTGATTTCGTGCTTGCTGTGGGCCCACTGAATTTGGGCCGATACACCTACAGAAACTTGAGAAAACCATCGAAGTTCAATGCATTTTGGCCAGTGGTTTCCATAATCATCCACATTCTTTCTATAATTATTTCTTAATTATTTATCAAAAATTCCTTATCTACTATATTAACGCGTTAGTCCTAAGTTCTACTCGACTAGTTAAAACAGTCGAGATCAATATCATTTTTTTAATAAGGGTTTTTAACACGACAAATAAATTTTTATATAATATTTTACATCTTAATAAATTAAAATTCAAACTTGATTATTGACTTGTGTTGTTAACAGTCGAGCTCGAATATAAAAGCACAATTTATATCTCTAATTTGTAAAAGCACACAAAAAAGGAGAGAGAACTTAAATCAAATAACAAAAGTTATCCATTAATTGGTCAAATTAAAAACAATTGGCCAAAACCACACTCAACCAATTCAGGGAACCAAAACTTGGGATGGACCCTTTTTTTGTTTGTAGGTTTTAGCCTATTGCACTTATTATTATTATGACAATATTAACTAAAAATATTCACAAAATTCGCACCAATTAATGAAAGCCATGTTTTTTTGTCGCCACTGATTTTTCTCGTATAAATAGTTCAGTCCCTTTGCAGAGTAAAGCATCTCACCATAAGCAAGCAAAAAAACTTAAAATTACTTAAAAAGATTAAATTTTCAAATACTTCTCACAATTTGATCAAGAAAATTACTGCAAAGATGTCAGGCACTGCTGGTCAAGTAATAAAATGCAAAGGTACGATTTTTTTCTTACTTTTTTTTTTTTCCTGGCTAACTAATTTATAAATTTTATCATATATATTGTTTAATTTCTACACAAACTGACAAAAGTATTCAGATTTAGTCTTTTTTCAATTTTGGATATATTTATGTATAAGTTTTTAATTTTTCGGAAATTGCAGCTGCTGTTGCATGGGAAGCCGGAAAGCCGCTGGTGATTGAGGAGGTGGAGGTGGCGCCGCCGCAGAAAATGGAGGTCCGGTTGAAGATCCTCTTCACCTCCCTCTGCCACACCGATGTCTACTTCTGGGAAGCCAAGGTAATTAATTTACCAAAAATTTCAAGAAAGTTGAACTTATGTGTGTGTGTGTGTGTGTGTTTTATTGTCATTTATTAGATTTTCCAGTAATTTCAATCTATGGGGCTGGTGAAAATTTTGTCTGAAAAAAAAAAATTATATGAAATTCAGACACTTTTGGAAACTACAATCTACAGATGTGCTTGATATGTTTTGTGAAATACAATCAAGCTTGAGGGGTTTTTGCCATTTTGAACTGGCTTGTGTTTTTGAAACTCCACATTTTTCGCTAGTGTACCGATACAAATGGCCTAATTGTTAGGCAGATCCACCTGTCAACATTTAGGACATATCTTTATCTTCCTTTCTTTTCCAAATCACCCAATCTTCAAGAAAAAAGATTAAAGTGATTGATTTGTCCTGTTTAATGCTCTTTCTGTAATTTTCAGGCTCAAGATTCTGTCTTTCCTCGAATTCTCGGTCACGAAGCAGCCGGGTACTCGGTTAATTCAGTCCACTTATGTTAGCTACATTGCATAGATTCTGATTCCAATCAAACATCATATATTCATTCACACATTTTCATTTTAAGGCCTAAAAATTGAATCTTTCTTCATTACCATTGTGTTATAGGATTGTAGAGAGTGTGGGAGAAGGAGTTACCGCACTTGCACCAGGCGATCACGTGCTTCCGGTTTTTACCGGCGAATGTGGAGAATGCGCTCACTGCAAATCCGAAGAAAGCAATATGTGCAGCCTTCTGAGGATCAACACCGAACGAGGCGTAATGATTCATGACGAAAAACCGAGATTTTCCATCAAAGGAAAGCCGATTTACCATTTTGTGGGGACTTCCACGTTTAGTGAGTACACTGTGGTTCATGCCGGCTGTGTTGCCAAAATCAATCCACTTGCTCCTCTCGACAAAGTCTGCGTGCTGAGTTGCGGAATTTCAACAGGTATTGATCGACTTTTTTTTTTTTTAAAAAAAAAAAAATTCTGATTTTTAGATAAGGGCTCTTGTATTTATTTGTTCTTGATGTGTATAGGCCTTGGTGCTACATTGAATGTTGCTAAACCAACAAAGGGCTCGTCGGTTGCTGTTTTCGGACTTGGAGCTGTTGGGCTTGCTGTATGTTCTTAATTCCTTTGTTTGTGTTGCAAATTTAAAGATTTAAAAAGTTTTTTTTCTTTTTGTTTTAATAATGAAGTGAATGATCATTTCTTTGTGTAATTTTGTCGATTTCAGGCTGCGGAAGGAGCCAGATTGGCTGGTGCTTCGAGAATTATTGGTGTGGACTTAAACTCTGCCAGATTTGAAGAAGGTATATGTAATAAATCATTTAAATAAATTCACAATTTTTAGTTATTTGGCAATGATTGAAATAATCGACAATGTATTCTCGTTTTTATCAATGCAGCCAAGAAATTTGGAGTGACTGAATTTGTGAACCCAAAGGATTATAACAAGCCAGTTCAAGAGGTAATTAATTAAAAAAATGGATGTACCAGAAACTTTTGATCCCATTATTATTTAGTATCTTTGCTCATATATAATTTGAATATTCTTTTTGTGTTGGAATACTTTTGCAGGTGATAGCTGAGATGACTAACGGAGGGGTAGATCGAAGTGTGGAATGTACTGGAAATGTCAATGCCATGATATCTGCATTTGAATGTGTTCACGATGTAAGTTAAAAAAGTTGTACTTTTGAATAGTATAGTACTCACAATAGTTAGAATTTGTCAAATGAAAAAAATCTGTCAACTTTTTTATTCTAGCTCCAATTATCTCTTAAACGACATATTCCCGGTTAGTAT